AGGCATACTCGATCGGGTATTACTCTTTACCCGGTCGAGTATGAACTGAAATAAGAAGAAGAAAAAAATCTGTCTCCTGTACTCGATCGAGTATAGGTTGATACTCGATCGAGTATAACGGGAAAAACAAATTAATTTAATCCCTGCCTCCAACACGCGATCGAGTATATGTTGATACTCGGTCGAGTATGCTCAGAAAAGCCAGTTTTCCCAACCTCTGTCTTCGGTACCCGATCGGGTATACAGGGATACTCGATCGGGTACCCCTGCGATTAATACCCAAACAACACCCATTTTCACTTCATCTTCTCCAAAACACTCCCAACTTCGAACCCCTCTCCCCCAAAACTCCATTTTTCCACCTTCTCTCTACCAAAACTCCCTCATTTCTCCACCAAATCATCCCATTTCACCACCAAAATACTCCCCTCAATCTCCTCTCCATATCTATACCCATAAATCCCACTTTCCCCAAACATCCACAAAATCCAAAAACCCTACCCCAAAATTCGAATTTTTGGGTTTCACACTCAAAAGCTTCAAAAAATGGCTCCAAGGAAGAATAGGGGAGAGAGCTCAATCACCATAGCACCTATCCCGGGCTTTGAAGACATCATTCCCGCCGACGCCGAACACCGAACTAGACTCATATCAACAACAAAAAGGCAAGTAAAACCTTCCCGTTTTCTTTGCCATGATGCTCTACGAGAATTAGGAGTCTATAAGAGTTGTAGAAAATTCTTTCATGCATTGGATATGGACCGTATTTTCAATATGAAATACAATTCTAACACACGAATTATCTACGAATTCTTGAGTTCGGTAAAGTTTGAAAGTGATGAGGCGGATTTTAGGGATGATAGACTCGAGTTTCGTCTGTTTAACCGAAATTATTCAATAACGAAACTCGAATTTGCTGAACACTTTGGTATCCCGGTGCCCTACGAGAGAGCCATCTCGGATAACACCATTTTTGGGCACTCTCTTTGGACAAAGATGACCGGGGAAGTGAGCTTTAACTCCTCCCAAATGTATATTAGTCATGTCCAACACCCCGTCCTCCGGTTATTCTTGAAATTCTTAGCCAATTGCTTGCTTGGCCGTCCCAACAACCATCACACTAGAATTGGGGACGTTTGTTTGATGTCCGTGGCCCTATTCCGTCGTCACGTAGACTTTAATCTGTGCAATCTCATGTGGGCACATCTGAAAAAAGAAAGCGTAGCCAAAGGAGCCATTGTTTTGGGAGGGGTAATTATGCACTTGGCCGGTAAATTCGGGTATACGGATAACTCTCCTATACCCGAATATTGTTTGATGGACATAGGTTGGTTAGGCCGATCAGGCTGCACCTCTTTTTCTCATACAGTGTACATTGGAGACCAACCAAAACACATGTACAACTGGATCATACACGTCCAACCGGTACAATACTTCCTTTTGCCAAACCCGGACACCCCCAAACTAACCTATAGACCGGAGTTCGAGGTGCCCCATTTCCTATTCCCTCATGCCCTTCCACCACATCTCCAAGAACCACAAGCCCAAGATTTCCCCGAAAACCAACCCGACCAAGAGCCTCAACCCGAGTACCAAGAACCCGAGGTTGCACATCACCACATGCCCGCACCTAACCAAGCTTCCCCACCTCCCGATTACTTCCAACAACTGCTTGACGGATTTAATAGAGTTACTGATGAAGTTGGTAAGTATCGAGAGGAACAAAAGGCGGGATTTCAAAGACTAGAAGAGCAACGGGCCGAAGACAACCGACGGTATGAAGAGGATCAACGTAGGTTCTATGGACCTATGTACTCTTACATGGCTCATCAAGGCCAATTCCACACCATGGCTCAACCACCACCACCCCCCTCTTGGTATGACCCCACTCAATGGGGTAATTTTGGAGGATCTAGCTCCGGGGGTGGAGGTTTTGATGGTGGGGACGGCGGGGACACTCACATGGGAGACGGGAACTTTGGAGGAGGCTTCGGAAGCGGCTTTGGAGGCAGTTACTACGGTGGAGAAGGCGGGCACTAGGGACAGTGCTTCAACTAAGTGTGGGGGAGGAGATTACTCATGGTATGTAATTTCATTTTCTACCTTTTACTATACATGAAGTTCTTTTACTCTTTGTAAACAAAAAAAAAAAAAAAAAAAAAAAGAATAAATAAAAGAATTGAAATGCTAGTTAGGTTGAAAACCCAAGAATGGGCAATCTAAGCAAAAATGGCTTATAAAAAAAAATAAATGAGTGAGTTTGGAAAGGATGGAAAAACAAAAAGAGATGCTAGGATGAAAACCTGAAAAGGCTCCTAGGCAAAATGAGAGATATGAGAGAAAAACCTTTTTCTGTGTGCAGGAACTCATTTGATCTCTAAGAGGAGAAAAAGAGAAGAAAAGGAAGAAGAGACAAGAAGATGGAGCATAGAAGATCATAAAACCCAAGAGAGAATGTTGTTTGTGAAAATCATTTTTTATTCCTTGGTGATCTTTGTTCCTTTCTTTCTTGAACTCATGGAATGATCTTAAACTGTTTGAAACATTTGACTTTACTCGAGGACGAGTAAAGAACTAAGTGTGGGGGAGTTGATACGTTTGTAATTTCCGTATGTTTATTTACGTTTTTAGTTAGTTTTGATTGTTTAATATCTAGGAAATTACACACTTTCGGTGTAATAGTTTAGTTTGTTAAATTCTTGTAATTTGTTTAGATTAGGTTTATTCTGAGCTTAAACAGGTCCAAGATCAATCAAATGATCAATGGTGAAGGAAGGTGCAAGAGTACAAGACAAAAAGAAGGAAAAATCCTGATTTTGGTCTATACTCGGTCGAGTATACACATATACTCGATCGGGTATCTGGTTGACATTTCAAATCGGATCGGATCCGAAAACAAAGGAACATGCAGGAGAAGATTTTCCACGTTCGAGTGTCTATACCCGATCGGGTATACTTATGTACTCGATCGGGTATAGCTATAAAAACTACCCGAGTATTGATCGAGTATGGAACGAATTCGATGTTCTACACATACTCGATCGAGTATGTATATATACTCGATCGAGTACTCGACCTGCACCTCAAAAAGCCTATAAATACACCTCCTTTCCTTCACTTTTAGATACCAATTCCTTTATACTCTTAAGCTCAGTTTAGAATAGCATTTCTTTATATTTCTTTTAGCATGTTTAGTCTCCAAATGAGGAGCTAAACTTCCATTTCTTGGTATTGCTCTTGAAGCTTGTTGATTATTAAAGTTGTGAGTTATTTTCTTAACTTCTTTCCTTGAATATTAATTCTTTCTTCAAATGCTATTTCTATATCAATGTTGGGGAGTGTTGCTAAGATGACAATTAGTTAACATCTTGACATTAGTTATAGTAATAGTCATTTCTTCCTCTATGTTAATATCGGGGAGTGTTACTAAGATGACAATTAGTTAACATCTTGATATTAACTATAGTAGGATTCATCTTCTTTAATATTCTTCCTTGAGTATCAATTAATTCCTATTCATATTTCATATTAATATTTTGAACATTACTTAAAGGATCAACTAGTTTTGTTTCATATATTAATTACTACTAGATACGATCAACGGACCAATGGTTAATCGTTGATAGTTTCACAAGTAAGTAACTTCGGTCTATTAATGCACGGTTGTGGTTAATAGATTTAAGAGGAGTTAATTGTGTTGGTTAAACCAAAACCGCTTGTGTTGAGGTTATCGATCTCAATTGATTTCATCAAGGAGTTAAGCGATTAAATGCTACTATCAAGTCGGTATACGGCGCTTGTTCTATACTTGACTAATAGTAAGGGTTATTAATGAACGGTCGTTGTTAATAACTATCCTCGATGAATTGGATATACTCCTCGATTGAGTATTCGAGAGGAGATAAGTTATAGATATAACAATGATCGACTAAAATATATCAACAAGTGTAAAATAGCAATACCAAGTATCTTTTATCTTTAAATTAAACCACATAACTCGTTCATCTTCGTGTTCAATTTTAATTAAATCACTCAATCAAAACCCCCCTTTATCTACTAGTTACATAAAAAGAAGAGTTATTCCTTTCCCTGTGGATACGAACTCTACTTCACCTATACTACGTATAAGTGTTGTACTGAATTTACTTTGAGTGCACTCACGACAAAGTGCACGTCAACTAACCATTAATTTTCTACCCTAAGTACCGTAAGACGATTAATTCATAATAAAATGTTTTAATTAATAATAAAATAATAGAAATTAATAAAAAAAATCTTAAAATTGTAATAATAATTAATAAAATATTTGTAAAGATAAAAATTAAATTAATAAATTTGGAAAAAATTAACAATAGTAAAAAATAGTAAGAACCCAAAAAAATGAATGTCTTTCCCAATTCCCACCACCTCTATCGCCTCTAGGCACCATCACCTCCAATCATAAAAATATCATTCTTTATGAAAATATCAAGAAAATGGTATGATTACTCTTTAATAATGTCAAAATTTTCATTGAAAATTTTATTAGAAGTGCTCTCATCTTCTTTGGTCATTTGGCCGGTGGTGTCAATAGACTCAATACACAAAAGAAGGGGAAATGGGCAAATAAGCTCTCGAACTAACCAAAAAAGTGCAAATCACCCATTTATTTGGAACAATTCTCGGTGGAATTTTTTGATGAAAGTTTGTTAGCATCTTCTTCATTAAGTCTATTTTATCTATACCAAATTTCAGCTAAAAATAAATTGAGAAGACAGTCAAATGATGTTTTGAAATATACTGCGTTGTTTAACTGCGCAGTTATCTTAAAAATTTCGTTTGACTGCCTTCCAAATTAAATTGAATTTTTATTTGAAATTTAGTATGAGTAAACTAGACTTAATGAAGAAGATTCTGAAAAATAATTATCAAAAAATTCCACCGAGAATTTTCTCAAATGAAGACGGCCGGACAGAGCCTTCTATATAAGGGGTGTTTTGCACTTTTTTTTTTTAGTTCGAGGGCTTTTTCTTCCTGTAGCATAGGAGAAAAGTGTTGAATTGGTCACTCATCTTACGTAGACAGTAGACACCATCTTAGCTGCTCATCATACACGGACTCAGCACTGGAAGTCTGGAACGAAGTCAGTTGGCCACTCCTCAAAAGAAAGTTGCAAAAAGGAAACCGGCCGCACTGTTACGACCCTTCGGATAAACCTACCAGTTCCTGCGACGAATCGAATTCCGATCCTCAGCACTCGACCAAGAAGGTGCTCGCAGGTTCAATTTCCCAGGTTCGGTTCCATTTGGTTCGTTCAATCGTTCTTATTTATTGATTGAATTGTATGATTGGATCATACAGAGTATGTGGTTAATTTTCACTAGATTGTTGTGATTGGATCTCTGATTTTTTTGCTAAAGCATACTTTTCGTTTCTGCAAAAATTAGATTGTTGATTGAATTGTTTCTACATTGTGAGGTCCTATGCTGTGTTTGAGGTAAATACTTCGATTTTTGCCCCTCTTCCAAAAGTAAGTAACCAGAGAATAATTTCCCACTCCAAACTACCCTTTTCAGATAGCTACTGGAGTGTTTTTAAACTGTTGAAATTGGTTTACTCTTTTCTTAATTTTTTTTGCTAAAACAGTGCTTTTATTTTCTGCAAAAATGATTTTTAATCCCCTCTAGATATTAAGAGTTGTTGATTGTATAGTTTCTGCTTTGTGAGATAGTATGATGTGTTTGAGGTAAATACATCGATCTGTTCTCCCTCTTGCAAAAGTAAGGAACCGGAGACTAGTTTCCCACCCTAAAGGCCTAAACTACCCTTTCCAGATAGCTAATGGCAGCCATATAACTGGATTGGTTTTCTGTGACACAGTGATAACCGTGCTTGCATACTTCTGTGATCCATGAGCATTCTGTGAGATAGTAAATACTCATATGACTAAAAGAGAGATAGTTTCCCAATGTATGACTTGATAGTTTTTCTTCCTAGAATGGTGCATCATGCATGAATTTGTTGCCGTCTTTTAATTTCGGACGTGAAGTAGTCTTTTTTCCTATGCAATTATAAGCATACAGTAGGCGCTTACATCCTTTGCTAATCATGTAACCATAAATAGACATTTTAAGTCATATGATGGGAAAGTGAACATGTTTTAGTAATATTCGCATATTTTTCCCTTACTCCTTAGTCCTTACTAAGATCATTTCCCGGGACTATGTTTGCTTTAGCCAACTCCTGAATAGCCAACGTTTGTAGAGGTGGGGCTTCAAAATAGATAACACCTTTCGATAATATAATCATCATATATACTCCATATGAGCAAACATGAAAAAACATTAAAATCTGTCCATCATAAAAATTATTCAAACAGTTCGTCTAGCGAATAAAAATTGCAATTTTTTTCTGAAACCTCAGCTTAAACACATTGTATACAATTTATCATCTAAACTCAAGGGAATTCAGAATTGTCATCCAAACATAAAGATATTGACATATAGTTGATCAAATCCACAATTTAGACAAGTAATTAAGGTTAAGAAAATCATGAGATGATTCAATCATATTCCAATACAACAAAAGTTACAAAAACGTTTTGAGTCTCAAATTGTTTCCAAACAAGAAGAAACGAGTTTGAATCAGGTGTATATACCTCATTTCTAATTCTCTCTTTCTTCTCTACTTCACTGAAGAAGAAATTTGCTCTTAGATTGTGAGTACTTTTTATTTTGGGCGTTAAGAAGGTAATCTCGAATCTCAATAAAGACAACATTTTAAGGCAAAACATATAAGTTAACACAGTGTTTAAGTTTTTACCTGGACAAAAACAATAGCTTCCTACTTTCACTTGATACTTGAATTGCTGCCTATCCAAAAAAATTAGTAAGACGGATTAGTAGGAAGACATTTTCCGCAAACAAAACTCTAGCCTTTCAAATGAAAACTTGAGGAAAAATGACAAGAAACTTAGGGCGCTGGATTAAAAGTACTCCCTCAGTCCCAAAATGTATGATACATTTACTTTTTGCACACGTTTTAATAAAATAGGTGAATGTTATCGTTATTCCCTTTTTACCCTGCGGTGGTACATGTACCGTCGTCACTACGTCCAAATATCGAAGTACGAGTAATCATTTAATCAAGAAGACAAAGAGCATCAGGTGTCATATAGTCCTTTATACAAATGCAAACACTCTTTTTTGTGTTGATATTTACTCTGTTTAATACGGAGTACTCCTGTAATGGCCACGTGGCGTAGTGCAAACCAATTTTATTCAATTAGATTCAAGAGTTAATAAATGCACAAGAACGAATTCTCTGGTGTGAAAGGAATGCATTGGGTCCACTAATAAATAATGGCACAAGAATTAAAAACATTGAATCCATCAATTATTAAATGGGACGGGAGTTATGAGGACGGCAGGAAGGACAATAGGGGAAAAGTAAAAAATTAATTTGGAAAGTGTTCATATTTTTGGGACAACCATAAAAGGAAAATGTATCTTATAAAATGGGACGGAGGGAGTACTTCCTTTCCAAGAACGACAGTTTTTTCATTCAAAATATTGGGCCTCATCAAATGTTCTTTCCCGCTTCTAGACAATCAAGAAATGTTGGTTTGCATATTATGTAGAGGGATTTTCACAATTGCAAAGGAATCGAGTCCATTGGTAAAGTTTTGTTTTTATTTTTGTTGGTAATTAGAAGGTAAATCTGCTGGGAAAAAACTGCTCCACATTTACCAACCAAACCTGATCCATTGGCAACAAATAGATGGTAATCCGTTGATAAAGTCGTTGAAAGTCATTTTATTTTAGCTGTGTTTCCATTTAGTTGGTAACTGGTTGGTAAATAACAACAGATGTATAACTAGAAGCCTTCATATTTTAACTAAAAGTTCTAAAGGTAATTTGTAATCTTTATGGTAGTCTTAAAACCAAAAGCCTTAATATATTATCTTCATTACTATAACTAACAAGCCTTAATATTTAATTATTCAAATAGTCTTAGACACTTTAAAACCAAAAGCCTTACTATAACTAACTAAGTCAAAGACACTTTAATTTAGTAAATGTAAACTCTATTTAAATCACTATGCTTTAAACTCCACGACACATTAAACCATTAACTATCAAATTTTATTTTGTTCCTATTGTGACTGATTTTTGTGTTCAACATTTCTTTAAGAAAAAGTAAGAAACTAAAAAAATAGTTGGGAACTTTAATCTATATTTGTTATGTCAATGAACAAGTAATCTATAGTCACTAATCACTATTCTTTTTACACAGCTCTGTGGAGAAACTGCTTGACCTCTTAGTGAAGACATGGCATCTAATAAAGATTGGATTGAATTGTTTAATGATCGGCTAAGTGAGACATATCTAGAAGGGCATTAAAACCTTTTTAGATTATGCTTTTCAAAAGACAGGAGAAAAGTATGAAATTAGATGTCCATGTGTGAAATGTTGCAATACATATTCAAGAAGTCGTAAAGTAGTTGAAACCCATTTGATAGTGTATGGGATGATGACAAACTACACATTTTGGTATCACCATGGAGAAAGGCGGGGAGAAATGGAACCTGAAGTTCATGATGACTCTGGAGATGAAACTGATGATGAGGCGCAAGAAATTATACAAGATTTTTTTCCTCATTATGACAAGTTCAGTGAAAGGACAGTATCGTTGAAGAGGAACCAAACGATGAAGCTAAGAAATTTCGTAGGTTGTTAAATTACTCTCAACAACTTGTATTTGAAGGCTCCAAGTCCTCGATGTTATCAATTGTGGTAAGATTTCTTCAGATCAAGAGTATTGGGAAGCGGAGTAACAAGTCCTTTATAATGTTGCTACAACTTAATTTATTAATTACTACGTATATTCTTTGAATACAGAGAAAGAGTGAACGAGATTCCAAAAATAGAAGTGACTTGACACTTGATTGTGCTACATCGCATGGGCAGCAAACGAACAAAGAGCTTATTCCTTAACTGGTATATATTAAATATTAATGTGCAGTGTTTGTTGCATAAAAGTGTGTGTTGCATAAATGATTATGAAACATTCAATATTCATCTAGTTGTTTATTTGAAGTCGTAAAGATAATAATCCGTCAAACATGGATGCTATTTTTTATTAAAGTCGCAAGAAGAAAGATGAACTTGTGGAACCACAAACAATTCATAAATATGTGAATTAGTGTCCTATTTTTTCTTGTTATTTAGATTTTGCTATTTTATTTAACATACCAATACATCATTTAGGAGGAAATACACATGGTGGTTCAATCAGACGCATCATTACCACATATCCATGCAATTGAAAACTGTTTTGAACCTAAAAAACGTAGACAAGTTGTTAGCTTTGGTGGTGGAGTGAGCCACAAATATTTGAAGGGGACATCTTCTAAAAAGAGTGAGCTTGAGGCCAAGTTGCGTGTAGTTGAAGAAGAAAACCGATGCATGAAAAGTCGTCTTAATGCACTCGAAAATGAGCTCCAAAAGATTAAAGATGTGCTACAAGGTAAAGAAAACAAAGATGAAATTCCAGAGCTTGAAATTTGCTGCCACATTCTTCAAACTTGACATACTTTTTGTATATGATTTTGTGGCACGTTTTTTAGCTTAGACAATTGATATGCCGAATATCTATTGACGATTAGTTACTTTAATGCTTATTTATTAGTTTTGATTTGAAATGCAACTAAATACATTAAAATTGTTTCAAGTTTTCAATTTTATTTTTCAAATTTCTGCTAATCACATTCATTGATTTAAAATAAATACTCCATAAATTAAAAATGCGAATGTGCGAGATTGGTTGTGTGATTAGATTGCAACGAAGATAATGCAAATTAATTAGATTCTAACGAATTAATGACAAAAAGGGAATAGAGATTGATTTCGGGGCAAATCAGATTTGGGGACTTATCAGGTTCAATCACATGAAAATTATTTAAATGAGAAAAGCTAACCAATACTAATTTCTTACCGCTCTTGCGGCTTGGACTATATCGATTTTGAGAGCCAGAATGATCTCTCATTTGATTGGCTTATGAATTGTTGCCAAAACGAGTAAGCGTACGGCTCCCTAACCGTGTTAATATCTTAGCGAAAGGTAATGTGTCATAGAATAATTTAGAGCTCTCTTAAATTACTCTATATGCAATTATAACCCTAGTGGTCATTCTGGTTTACAAAAGGTTACAATTAAATTATTCACACACAAATTAAATAATAATCATGCAATTAGTCCATCAAGAACGAACTCTAATTCATGAATCATACTCCATCAATCTTAAATTCCTAATTAAATCTACCTACAATTCATAATCGAATTAACAATAGAATTGAGAAAGTAAGAATGAACAATCATTGATCGCAAGAAAGAACTTACATACAATCTCGGAATTTCAAAGATCCAATGCCATAAAACAAAAGAAAATTTTGTCAGAGGCTTGTGTTTAAACTCTTCAACCCAAAACATGGGTTTGCATGGTGTTTAAATAACAAAACACAATTTTGGGTGAACGATCGACGTTCCCATAAAACTTCTGCTTCGGCTTTGCGCACGACGTGTGGAGGGCTGTGCACGGGTCGGGTTCGGGCGGGTTGGGTCTGCGTACCCTAAACTCGTTCGTTTTTTAATATAAATACTAAGCCCCAACATTTTTCGGTGGGGTGACTTAGAATTCGATGATACTTTCCGTAGTTGGGGTCATCAACCTTTGTAACTTCCTCAGGTCGTTTGGACTCGGGCAAATCAATAAGCTCAAATCTCACCAGTTTCTCAAACATGGGAGGAACGCCAGAGTCTAAGAAATGGTACTTCTTTTCCAACATCTCTTCTCGAAATGGTTTAGCACTTTTTGACGCTTCCAAGTCGAACCTAGGAACTTGCCTCGAATTTTGAGAGAAGACCTTTAACAGGTGCAGTCTTCGCGGCCATTGTTTCTTTCTTTTCAAACTTAGAAAAGGGTTTGCCCCCATTCTTGGTATTTTGTTGTTCAATTGCATTATTGACGGGATACATACCCACAATTTTACTTCTACTGCTCGTAATGCTCAACTCCATGTTACGAGCTTTGCTTGCTAGCTCATCAAAAGTGTTTGGATTGACTCCTTTGAGAAGGTAGCACAATTCCCAATGCATTCCTTCAATGCACGTATTGATAGCGGAGCTTGTAGAGATTCGTTCTTTGCAGTTTAGAGAAAGAACCCTCCAACGCTCTATGTAAGCTATTACTGATTGAGATCATAGCCATTTTCCATGCAATTGAGATAGCTATTAAAGAAGCTATCTAGACAGCTTCTTTAACAAGGTTCATAGCCATTTTCCATGGATACGAACGAATTTTTTAACAACATTATTGCTCCCTTTATCAATTGGATCATGACTCTTATATATTGAGCCAATATATGACAATAGGCTCGAACCTAAAAGGACCGGTCAATTCTTTTAAAGATTTAATTTATAATTAACATAATTGGATATTTTAGTGATCCGAATTAATTTAATCACTAAATTATATCCGAATGTATCCATATTAATATTTTTCTTTTGATAAGGCCCAACAACCATTATGAGCAGCCCAATAGAATCCGACCGCCCACTAGCACTTCAATATCGTTAAGAATAGCTCGGTATCATTTAAAATGAGCTTGAAAATAATTATAATTGGCCCAACATTTTTTAATATCCACACCGCCGAAAATAAATGGAAAAATTGACAAGAATAATCCCACATTTCACTGGTATTCTCATGATAATCCCACCTTTAAATAATCCCAAAATAATCCCACCTTTGCATCTCATCTTCTTTCATTGGACCCTGACCAAGTTTTTTACCTTTTTTAAAAATCTTATATAAATAATCTCACATTTATAAGGATATAATTAAAAAGTGAAAGGTGAGATTATTTGTATAATTTTCAAAGAAAGAGTAAAAAGCATGGTCAGGGTCCAATGAAAGAAGATGAGCTGAAAAGGTGGGATTATTTTGGAATTATTTAAAGGTGAGATTATTATGAGAAAATGAGTGAAAGATGGGATTATTCTTGTCAATTTTTCCAAAATAAATTTGTTTTGTGGCTTGTGCGGCGATAACGATGAATTGCTGCTGCATGTGTTTCTCCGGTGTTCGTTTGCTAAGGAAGCCTGTACTTTAGTTGGCTGGTCAAATATTTTCCATTCTGAGAACTCTTTTACGGGGTGGCTGCAATCTGTTTTTTAAGTCCAACAAGAAGGAGCCGGAATTGCAAATGATTGCATGGGGCTGTTGGGGGGCTGTTGGGGGCCGTGGGGAGAAAGGAATGCTCGTGTCTGGCTAGGGAAGGGGCTGAGATCTGCTACTGTCATGCTAAATTCCAGGAGCTTTGTTGAAGCTTGGCTCCAAATACAACAGAAGGGTAAACTGGATGCAGCATGAGGCAGCAGGAGGCTCCAGGATGGAGGAAGCTTAATGTGGATGTTGCAAGGGGCAGTGGAGACATCGGGTTTGGCTTGGTTGTCCGGAACTAGCTTGGGGAATTTAGTGCGGGTGGTGCTAAAACGGGCTGGGGAAAATGCTCTCCTTTAGAAGCTGAATTATTAACCATTTGGGAAGCTCTCAGTTGGTTAAAAGATCAAGGATGGGACTTTGTGGAGGTTGAATCGGATGTGTTACAAGCTATCTCGGAAATTCACAACTGTTCCTGCCCCTCTTCGGTAGGTGTTCTGGCAGAAGACGTTCGGGATATTTGCAAAAGGTTCTCTAACATTACCTTTAATTTTATTAGACGATCAACGAACAAAGTTGCTCATGAGTTAGCTAGAGTAGCTAATTCTATGTCTGGTTGTCGTATTTGGATGGATATCCCCCAAATTGTATCTGTGACGTTTTGTCCTTTGATTTGATTAATGCCTATTAATATATTTCCTTTAAAAAAAAGCTTATAGTAAAGTGTTATATTTAATACCTAAAGGCAGTATAGTTTCGATTCAGGTTTTTGTTAATAAAAAATCCGAACGGGTTTAGGGTACGCAGACCCGACCCGCCCAATCCCGACCCGTGCACTGCCCTACACACGTCGTGTGCAAAGCTGAAGCAGAAGTTTTACGGGAACGTCGATCGTTCACCCAAAAATGTGTTTTGGGTCAAAAGTTATTTGTTTGGTTAATCAACCTTTTTGGTAGGGTGACTTAGAATTCGATGATACTTGCAGTAGTTGGGGTCATCAACCTTTGTAACTTCCTCGGGTCGTTTGGACTCGGGCAAATCAATAAGCTTCAATCTCATTAGTTCCTCAAACATGAGAGGAACGTCAGAGTCTAAAAGGGTACTTCTTTTCCAACATCTCTTCTAGAAATGGTTTAACACACTTTGATGACATAATCTAGCGCACAAAATCAAAAGTTACGAGTTTGGTTAAAAAATTGGCTGATAAGCCTGATAAGACGAAAAATAGTGTCACCAAACGAGCTCTTACTCTTTTTATTGACAAGTATTTTTATAATTCCTCGCTTTCTAGTTTCTACCCTCAAAAAATAAAAAAACCGCCCCCAAGCCCAAACCAAAAATTAAAACAATCGCCCAAAATTAGAACTCTAAAGCACAGACCGCGTTTCCACTTCTTCGGGGGATAGATAATCGGCATCGGTCGCGTGTCCAGTGTCTCAGAATCGGTAATTGGCAATCGGTATCTTCGCCCTGCGTGGCTGAGCACCCCTTACCTCAAGCCCTCTAGCGGCTGCCTACTAGTGCTACGCGACAACCTCTAGCCCTCTATGCACGGCTGCGCCATTTCTGCTCTTCGCCAGTAAGTTTTTTAATTGTTTAGTTTTATCGAACTTTATTTTTTTTAATATCTAGTTTAGCTGTTTAGATACTCCTTTCAGTCTGTCAATTATCTTCCAAAATTTCCAAAAAAAAAAAAACAAAATTCCCTTTCCTTTTTTTTTTTGTAAAGAAGTTGTGTGTTCACAATATTTCTCACGTATTCTTACACATTGTCCACTATCTTAATCCTGTGTTAAATGTACTATACAAGATCATTTAGAGACGAAGAGGGTGCTAAATATCAGGTTTATTTTCAGAATTTAGGATTTCTATTAATTAGTATTTTCAGTGAGGGCTTTAAGTTTTAACTCCTTTAAGCCTTTACTTATGAATGTGACTTGTGATTTGAAGTTCTCATTTTTCATTTGTGCATCATTTATATTAGTATGAATTTGATTGTATTTTGTTACTTTTAATCTAATTATTTATTATTGATGAGTGATCAGTGATGAATGGCTATAGACTTATTGTTTATGTAGAAATATACATATTGAAAATTGACGATGATTTCATTATCAAACGATATCAATCCATGAAAACCCGTAGAGAACAGTTGTGAAATTGTGGTGTCTTTTTGTATTTGACAGAAACTCTTATTCCCATAATATTTATTTATGTCTTTCAACTTTTTTGTTTCAAGAGATGTTATTTTATACCTGAAAATAAATTTTGATAGATAGACATTAGTATATTACATTTTGACCTTTTTTTGTTGCGATAAGTGTTACGGAGTATTTAATAAAATTTTGCCCTTGGATGTCGAAGCTAAATCTGCCCCTGAACCCATTCTAAGCGGAAGCCAAACATGACATCACTCCATCATGTTTGCGCCATTTCAAAGGCTCCATTTCTTCATCTTCATGGCTGCGGAAAGTCTCTGTTTCCTT